TCTCTCTCTCTCTCTCTCTTCTTGATCTCTGTCTACAACTGACAAAAGAGGATTCAAAACTGATAACGAAGAACTAACACAAAAAAATAAAACAAAACAAAAACAAAAACATGACAGGAAAGATCATTGGTAGGGAGGTTGAGGCGGACGCTACCAGCCACCCCGACCCTTCCCTCTCTTTTCTAACCGGTTGCTTGTCATACTGTCTTGAAACTTCCCCACCATCCGAATTGCCGTTCCCATCATCCCCGCGCAAGAGAGAGAGAGAGCGCGCAGTTTTCCTCATAAAACTCACGCCCAACCCCGCTGTACAAGTCAATTGACCACGTTACCACGCTCTCAAGTCGCTCACTCGCACGCGCACACACCCGAGAACATTCAAAAGGGAGGAACGGCCACAGACGTATAGCAGATCATCCTTTGAACTCAACCAGCACGAGATTTGAGTTCGATACGCCCGGTGCAGACATATATCATTCTTGTCACACCCATATTCTTGTTTCTATTATTCAAGCTCGTACACAATTTTTCATCTTTGAGCGTGAGTGTGTGTCATTTTGCACGTGAGCGGTTTCAGTTGAGAAATCGCCGTGACATTTTTAAAGGTGCTTGAGAAACTTTATGTTCAAGTCCTTTCTGAGTTCGTCGAAATCTTTTCCAGTATCGTCTTATTATACCGCAGCTGCTGCAAGATCATACAGGTAAGTTTACTTATTGTTGTAATCGCACTTTAAAAATCCCCCAAAGTCAATAATTTATTAATGGTATGCAATTTTCCTTTTTTCTATCTCTTGGATATCAGATTAAAGAAATGTTTAATGAATCTGATAAACTGCATATCATTGTCTAATGAAGAAGTAGAAATTTGTCCAGAGCAACTTTTGTTAGCTTACAAATTTAGTGTTCCAAAGTCAAGACCTTAATTTAAAAAACCCAAACCCAGCAGTCACTCTTATGTAAACAGGGGAACAAAAGATGAAACAGCTGATGGAATCATTTAGGATTCGCGATTCAGTCATTCAACTACACTTGAAGATGTGCTTTAATTTAATTTCCCATCCACATTTTTCAGTCTGTTTTCTATGTCTGAAACAACAACAACAACAACAACAACAACAACAACAACAACAACAACAACAACAACAACAACAACAACA